CCGATGGGAATCGGTCGGTCCTCGGGACATCGACTGTACATTTCTGTACGAAATACGAAAGAAGTTCGATGTCAGAAAGAGACTCCTATGGAGCCGCATCGCAGAAAACGCCACCGAAGTGAAAGCAGTTGGAAAAAGCGTGATCGTCAGGGATCTATGCATTTCTTCTGTGTAAGCGATTGTTGTCAGGTACCGATTGGCGCAAGAGTGGATCGAAGGATACAGTGTGCTTGCCTAGGCTTCGCATGTTGAGCGAGAGGAGCGAGATGTCAAGCGGCGATGCTGAAAATAAGGTTCAGCCGCTCACGCAGACGACCATGTCCTACACGCCCAGGAGGAGGTCAGGTGCTGCGACCAGGTGGCCTCGCAAAAGCTCCAAGCCTGAGGCCTGTGGACATCGCCGACTTCTCTGGCAATTCCCGAGACACGGCAGAGGCCAACGCGCACAACATCTCCAGGACCTGACCGTGCCAGTTGCCAACAAATTCTCAGCGACGCTGCCTGCAGGATCAAGGCTTCTTTGGAGAACATGACCCTCCTCAAGGTGCCGCCTCGAAGGGAATCCAGTGCCGTAATAATGTACGTCCGTTCCAGGCCATGTCACTTTCAGCGGAAGTCGCAAAAACAACCAGAGCTCCCTCCCTCCCTCTCTCTCTCTCTCTCTCTCTCTCTCTCTCGGTCTCTCGCTCCCTCCCTCTCCCTCTCTGCGCAGGAAGCCTTGGAGATTTTCGGCGCGTGTGATCACGAGAGGCGGCAAGGGAGATTCCATGCCGTTTGTTCGGAGCGTTGACGTGCACGGGCCCTTGGATTCGAACAGGAAGGGCTACTTGTCCTGGGACTCTGGTGAGATCCAAAGCTTCATTGCTAGAGTGAGACGCTCAGATGATCTTCAGATGTCAGAGGGATGAGAGAGGCAGTAGGCTTGAGAGCAGGTCTTCAAGCAGCAGGGCTTGATATCGCCGAGACAGGCACCTCTCGACCAGTTGGCGCCGGCATGTGCAGTCGTGGCATGACATGATCTGAAACATGAGCGGACCAGGAGCAGATACGCGCCCTGTTTCCTGGCTTTCAGAAGTGGTGAGAGCCGGACGTGTGCGAAAGACGGGTCCCGTGAGGTTTGCAGCTTTCGACCTTGATGGCAACGGCCGCGGCCGCCTTGAGGGAGGGCAGAGAGGGCAGAGCCTAATCGACGCCCATTTCGAGGTTTGGAGCCTCGGGAGTGCATGTGCATGGTGGATGCTTTGGCCCGCCGGGAACTTGCTGTCAAGCGGCCCCTGTCGCGACCAGCATCCTCCGATCGGCGAAATTGTGGGCTTGGGGGCAGCCGCAAGGTTCGATCATCCTGGCTCAGCCTCCCGGCTCGCAGGATCCCACTTGTTCCTAGTTCACGGACCTTGCATGTGTGCAACCTTTGCAATATCTCAAGTCCTGTACATACCTGTGCACGCCTCATGTCCGGGTTCGTCTTCAGCATGTCCTGGCATGTTGGGCCGTGCTTCCTCTTGGAGTGCTTCGTACCAGAACTGTAGCCATTCGCAGGCTTGGGCAGCGGGTGCAACGACTGTGCCAGCGTGCCCCAGCTAGCAAGCGCAAGCGTGGCTGCGTCCGAGTGCTTGGAGACCGGCCCGCTAACAGTTTCGAGACCCTGGAGCAGTTCCCTGTTGAGCCTTGAACAAGCCTGGGAGTTCGCAGGATGAGAGTTGCTACGCCATCGTTGTGCATGCAGGTACAGTCTCGCGGAACAGTGGCTCGCAGATTTCAGGCCAACTGCCGTCCAAGAGGGCCTAACCGCAGAGCTCTTGGCATGGGTCCTGCTTTCGTCCTGTGCGATCCCAAGTGACTGTACTCACTGAGGTCCGCTATTGGATGGAGCGCAAGCTGGTGCCTGTGGAACGATGTGTGCATGAGAAGTCACAGGGTGAAGAGCTCGTTTTCAATGACACCCCAAGTGGATGTACCAATCATCTCCGCGACCCTTATGCTCAAATCTTCCAGTTGAAGAGAATCAGGGCTTAGCTTTGGCCCTGAGCCATGTCAACAAGAGCGGTATCTCGCTCATCAAGGCCGAGCGACGGTGGCTCAAGCGCACTTGAGTCCAGTGGCGAGGAAGAGGAGCAGCAGGTGATTAAGGATGTTTCCCACCGTGTGCATGCGATCCGTTCGCCCTTCATTGTGGCCGTGTGTGTTGAATGTGCATTCTGTGTCCTGATGACGCGATGGATGGATGAAAGTCTTACGCACCAATCGCCGATGGACAGAGTTTTTGTATTCGCTCAGGAGAAGAACTTCAAGACGTCACTGTGGACAGTCTTCGCTGTGACAGTCCTCGGCCGCCTCTTTTGCCTCGTTTGGTCTGACACCCACATCTTGCAGAGACGCAGCGGACGTATAGTCGCCATGTTGTACATTTTTTTCGGCACCGCGCAGTGGCTGTTCTATTTGTCGGTCTACTATGTGGAGGTTGATGCTGCAAGTAGTGTGAGAAGGACTCACCAACTGAATCTCCAAATAGAGGAAATCCCGACGTTGCTGTCGAACGTGAAAGGGGGGGATCTGACGAAGTGTTTGGAGCAGAATGAATGGAACTACAAAGCCTGCAAATTTGACGTGCAGGGCACATGTGCTCGACCATACAAGCCTGGCGACGAGTATCAAAACGGAGACTGTGTGTCCACCCTTGTCGTCCAAGGTGTCAAGTGTTGCATTTCGGAAGTTATCAAGATGTCACCACCACAGATGAGACTCTTTGGACACATCTGTGACGTTGAAATGATCTTCATGGTTATCAAGTGGATGGCGGTTTTGCTAATGGGCTGGACCCTGCGTCACGGATTTCTTGCTGGAAACATCGGCGAGAGAAGCTTTACCCAGGGTACTTGGCTAGACGTTCTTGATGCTGTGATTTTCAGTGACTTCCTCAACAAGAACGAGGTCAGATATCCAGCCTATGGTTTCACGGTTGATGGCAAGCCACAGCTGCGAGACCTGCGGCCTCTGGCGGGGTTGTACATCACCTGGCTGACCGCCTTCTCCGCAGTCATTCTTTCCCGCATTGTGTACACTGCCCTTGTGCCAGCCGTAGAAGAGAACGGGAATGCTGGCACGAAGCCTGCCAATGCTGAAGACGCAGATGCCGACACCAAGGAAGCACCTCAGGGCTTTCCTGTCCGGGTCGTGCACGACCAAGAGTCTGAAGAAGAGCACGGGTTCTTCACCCACTGCACCACCAAGGACGTGCAGTTGGATCCGCTAGGCAGAGCTGTGGCCCAAGCTCCTGGCAGCTACCTTGTGACATATGACGATCCCGATGTTGAGCCCGAAGTGGTTTCGGCAGATCGCTTGGCCCCGCTGCTCGACTACGTGGTCGATATTCAAGCAATGGAGGAGGCTGCGGAAGTGAGGGTCAAAGCTGAGTGTACAGGATGGCTGGACTGCAGCACATTGTGTGTAGGGAGCCGGTATGAGCGCTTCAATCACCGTGCTAGAGTTCTGGATGCGATGAGGTCCCTTTTTCTGCTACAGCTTCCTTTCATGCTGTGGCGTCTCTACTTTGATGCTTTCACCGTGAATGTGGTCACCCTCGGCGGGAACTTTATGCTCATAGCCAAAAACTTCGTATGGTGCCTCATGGATTTAGCAATCATCCTGAGCTGCACTCGCAAGGATGCATCCATTTGCTCCTGGAAGCCTATCGAGTTCCTGGAGAGGGCTGCAGAAAGCAGATTTGGGCAAGTTTGGGTCGGCCCCAACGGCATGGTGGCGCTCGTTGCGGAAGTTGGCGGCTCTGCCCGCGTGGCCCAGCTAGAAAGGCGGAAGGCATACCTTGAAAGCTACAAGAGGTGGATCTTGTCCGAGCAGGCCGTGGCCCACAAAAGTCAGCGTGACTTGTACAGCAGGCCTCTGCAAGAGGTTGAGAGTCGGCTACTCGAAGTTGATGAAAAGATGCACTTCACCTTCCCGTAGCACTCTCCACGTCGCCTTGCGACGCGACGACCGGGACGTCGTGGCAGGGCTCAGGCTTAATGTGTGTCTTGGCCGACAAGAAATGGCCCAGAGGAAAAAATGACGAGACATTTCTGGCCGACAAGAAATGGCCCAGAGGAAAAAAGGACGAGACCTTTCTCTTCCATCGCAGACGATGGGCTGCGCATCCTGGCTTTGTGTTTCAGTGTTCGAGTCTTCAAGCCGAGGCCAGTTGATCTCCGTGAACTCGCGGTCCACCTGCGGACCGTCGGGCCACACAATGCCAGACACAAAGCCAGGACAGGGCCCAGAAACTGAGACTGCAAGACTCTGCCGGGAAAAGTAGGCAGTGCGCAAAGAATGGATGCCGGTAATGTGCAGACCCTGTGCAGTGTGCCAAATATCTGATTCAGCCAGGACTCCCAGCATGTCTCAGAAGTGGGCTGTGGAAAGTGTATAAAAAACACCCGTGCTTCGAGCTCCGAAGTCGTACAGGTCACCTCGTGTTCAAGCGACTAATGATGCAGGATGATTCATGCCATCGAAACTGGCGAGTTTCTGAAGGCAGGTCATCCAGTAGGGCTCATGATCCGCATGGCTGTTCTGCAGCGGGGCTCACTAGTCAGGAGGCGTTGCAAGTCTTCAAGGAATGTGACAGAGACAGGACAGGCTCCGATGGAAGGTGTGCTTCGTCAATCCTTATGGCTTGGTGTCCCCCCACTGATTGACGTGCGACGTTCGACCAGGAATGGCCAGCTGACCTGGAACGAGCGAGAGATCCCCAAATTCTTTGGCAAGGTTCGCTGCACAGTGCAGGCCGCATTTACGTGTTACAAAGCGCAAGTGACTTGGCGAAGGTCTTCCGGAAATATGATCTGGTCGAGCCGAAGGAGGCCGCCTACGAAGAGCTGCTCTGCTCGGCTTGAAATCAAGTTCCGTAGGCGGAGCTCTACGAGATCTACAGAAAATATGATGTTGATCAAAGCTACAGCTTGGATGTCCGAGAGAGCCTGTGCCTCGTCGCGTCCTCAGCTTCGGAGCCCGCGCGGGTACAACGAGTCGTGTGGAGACTCTGCGAAAGCAGTCCCATTCGGCTCTTCAGCCTGTTCAGTGCTAGTTGCGAGGTCGATGCTGTTGTCGGGAGCTTACTTTGTGCATGGAGATCAAGGGCTGTGGCGCTCTTTGACAGCGGAACCTCCCGGAGAGGAAGTCATGTATGCGACTGGCCAGTTTAGGCGTAGGTGCATGACGCTTGTTTCTCTGTCCGTCTCTGGAGGCAGTGCAATCAGTTTCGACACGAAAGCCGTTTTGCAGGGTCGTGTTTGATGCTCGGTGGAGACGCTGCCACCTGGGCTTGGGCTTCCGAATCACCGGCACAAAACACATACAGAATACAGAAGAGACGTTCTGCTTGACGGAGCGAAGCACAGACTTCGAGGAATTAAAGGTGCTTCTGTGTGTGATTTCTAGCCCGAAAAAAAATGCGGCAAGCTCTGTGACGACCACGGTAAATGCAGCTTGGTAGCCCGAGGTCCGAGCCATGTACCTGGACGATTCTGCCGACGGCTTAGACACTGACTGCTTTGCACACATGCAAACCTGGTTTCGCGTTGTGTACGATGTCTAGACTTGGTTGCCCGATTGCTTGGCAGTCTTCATCGCCTTTAGTGTGCAAGATTGCGAAAGAAGCATGTTGCAGATAACTTGATCTGCTGATGGAGAGCCAGAATTCCACTTCTGCTGCTTGCTATTCTTGCCAATGCGAATGTGAGTACAGCTCCTACAGATGCCCGAGTGACTGTCTCGCCTTGCAGTCGCCTCGCTCCAATCGTTCGGCGAACCGAGTTTCCTTCAGCGAGGAGGCATGACTAGCCTGATTGGGAGTCTGGAGCAGTCATGGAATCAGATGCAGCGTGCCAGGTCAGCCCAGTGCATTCAGCTGGTTCCCACGTCGAGCGTCGCAGGCTGCTGAGTGACCAGGCAGACCCAACTTGCAAGCTCCATGCGAACCAATGCGAAGCAGCCCTCTCCTTGTTTCAGCGGGCTGAGCTTGCCATGAGGAAGCAGCAAGGCGAGTTGCCCTGCAAGAAGCGGCCACAGAGCAACAGCTCGAGCTTTTGATCAGGCCGAAACTGCTTCGTGACTTAGTCTGCGCGTTTTCATGTCGCAGGCGGTATTTGTGCCAGGAGACGCAACGAAGCCATTCGAGAGCGAGACACCCTGGTGACTTTGTTCGTCAGACTCACGGTCCTTTTGCTTTCGCAGCACTGCCATCGCCAGAAATGCAGCAGAACAGAGAGGCAATGTGCTGGAAGGCAGAGCGGAAACGATTGAAGCTCAGGTTGTTCTGGGAGCATGGCGACAGTTCGCAGCAGTCCTACACGGGTCGTTCTGCTGCAAGGGCCTGGCCTTCTCGCGGGTCGCGGGGTGCATACTGCCACCCCCGACTTAAGGTGATGCGATAGGGTTCTGCAGGAGTTGCTGCTAGAAGACCGCACGATGACTTTTGCGCAACATGAGGCTGTGCACGAGCTTGCCGCCAGAATGAAGGAGGCCTGTGGTAATGAAAAGATGTTACACCGCACAGTCGGCCACAGAAGAACAGCACCGAAGCAAGAACTGGTGCTGCAAAAACGCTGGCAAGAAACTGCTGGACACAGATGCAATCGTGCTGACAGGAGTGGAATTCGAAGCTAGCAGAGGCTTGGAAGTGCCTGCGATTTCCACGTGCTTCGCTTCAATACGTTTCTAGTTTTCCGGTTGCGGCAGCTTCGCCGACAGGCAAGAAGCTCAATTGCGGTGGCCTTGGTTTGTGCTGCTGAGAGAAGATGCCATCTCGGTGAGGCAGAGCGGAAGCTGCGCGAGGACTGCATGGAGTCTGGGAATGTGTCGAATACGGTCAGGCTCAAGGGGGAATCAGAGGCAGAGAGGCAACTGGCAGTGAGCAACATGGGGGTGCTTTTCAGCTTAGTTTGTGATGCCTGCTTCTTGCCAGCTGCATCCTCTGGTCCAAGCTTTTCACCAAATTTAGCGTCGTTGCAGCCTGCATGACGTGCATCATTGATTTGACGTCTGTTCATTGATCGCAAGAGAAGCCTCTGTAGATGTGGTAGGTAGAAGGTTCGCGCCGTGACTCATGGATCGAGTCTGTGCCGATGCGGAATGTTGCAGCCCTGTGACAGGACGATCGGCAATTCTGGTGCTTTTGCCCTTTTTCGCTGGCACCCCCTGAAGAATCCTGAACCCTGCCCGACTTGCTCCTCCAACCCAAGCCGCTGGAGCTGCGATGCTGGCAGGAGTGCTTTGGCAGTGCTGCGGCTGCCTCCAGACGTGGCGGCCGGGGAGACCTGCAACCTCGGCCGGGAACTCGGAGCTTTGCGCAGTTTTTAGAGACGCTGCTTCTATGATCGAGGCGACGAGCTGGCAGAAGAGCGTCCCGAGGGTGCGAAGCTGGTCTGGTTCGTCCGACATGGGCAAAGCACTGGGAATGCCGTTGCTTAGCTCAGAGTTCAGAAGCCCTGGTGAAGTTTAGGGGGCGGCCCAAGCGATTTGCGATGCTGATCCTGCAGGCTCGGCTTACAGCGATGGAAGCAGACAAGGCCGCTGGAGGCTGGTGCGGAAAACAGTTCATGATCCAAAAGATACGTAGCGATATTTGTGAGTTTGTGAGACATGCGAGAACGTGCCACCTTTGGGAGAGACGATCCCGGGGGCATGTGCGGGTGACGGCAATTAGAAGAAGGAGGTGGAAGGCCCCCGCCGGCTCGAGGAGCGCATCACTCGAGCGCATCCGACCGACTTGCAGTCTCACAGAACTACCCTTCGCTGCTCTGCCGCTGCCTTCGCTGCTCTCGTCGGCTTTGCCGGTTTCCGCACAGGGGAAACATGGTAGGCTCGAGCTCACAAGCTTTGTTGAATCATGTCATAGTTGCTCCAGTTGCGGATGGTCGATGCCTATCGCCCTGGGTTTGCGGGCAGCGTGCACACGGTCTGTTCCCTGTTATTGCATCCCTGATGTTACACGATTTTTTCGTCGATCGGACCAGTGTTTCAATCATTGGGAATTTTGATGTTGGGGTGGGTGTGCGGGGCTCCTTCTCGGGAGCTTCAATCTTGCATGAGGAGGCAAAGAACACCTCCAAACATACATGACGGGCCGGGACTATGTCGACGCAAAGTTGACAGAGCATGGCGTGCAGCAAGCCGTGGCTGCTCAGAAACAGGCACGACCTTGGCAACAGGGCAGGTTGCAACTTGTACTTGCACTCTGTCTTTGATGCTGACCTTGCAGGCTGAACCAGATATGGGTTTAACCAGTTTAAGCTGTTATACTAGACTTCAAACACAGATTCAATTCAGATTTCCTGGCAGATAGCTGAATGGAAAGCCAAGCCGCAGCTCATCATATGCTCACCGATGACTCGTGCTATTCAGACGGCTGCCATTCTTTTTGCTGAAGATCCTTGGCGAATCGTTGAATCATCCTAGACTGGTCGTTTGGGCGCTTGCAACACATTCTTGCTACGAGCTGTCGCGAGAAGGAGCTGATGCAGGGCTGCGAACTGTTCCTTCGATTCTCGGATGCGTCTTCTGTGCAGAAATTTGAAGAGCATGGCTCCGGAAAAGGGTGTTTACAGCGTTGCTGTGTACGTACCTTGCCTGCGTTGATGATGCAACAGATGCACTTTTTGGATGTTTTGAGGACCAGAGCTACGAGAGTTCTATCCCGACAACAACGAGAATCAGGGTCGTCCAGTCTCTGAGCTACAGCATTGCCCAGCACTCTCGGCTCTTCCCGCTTGGCCGGCGGTGGAGAAGGCCCGGTCATCCCACTGTTCAGATGGGTCGGGTCTTACAATCTTGGGATGGGGGGTCATGAATCTTAAGATGCGTCATGTCGAGCACGTCTGTGCATCCTGGAGTCCTTGGAGGCCCTGTCAGTCGCTGCTGCTTCCGACTGGCGGAGGGCATGGGATGAAAGCCTTGCAGCTGGAGATGGCTGGCAACAACACTGCGGGAGCATCGACAGGCCCTCTGGCATGCCTTTGGAACAAGCTTTCTCTTTTAAATCATCTGTCTGATCCAGAATCCAGATCAGGCTCGTGCCCTTCCGGAACTGGCTGATCATGCGGCCCGAAAGCAATGTTGCCATAGTGGCGCACTATGGCTCCATCAACAACTTGCTGAACATGGAGCCCTTCGAGCGGAGTGTCAGGGAGTCTTTTCAGAAAGCTGGCTGGTGTAGCATTTCCCCAACCCCTCGTAGCTACCTCCGGCGACTGTCAGTGGTGGCTCAGGAAGAGAAGCTGCGTTCATGGAGTGGAGTGCACGCAAACACGCCCCGGACTGCCATGAAGTACTTCCTAGTGCCAAATTGTGGCTGGGTTGCAGTCCTTTACGAGCGACCACCGTCCTCAGATCTTTGAGCCGTTGTTGCTTTGACCCTGTACACCTCAGAGCACTTCGGCAGCTCGAAAAAGCATCCTGCCGTCTCTTTGGGCCGTCTGTGAGATCTGCGCTTGCAGCGCCACTTGCCCGGCAATGCAAGGAGCAGAGAAGCTTCCAGAGCCGCTTGGAAGATGAACTCGACAGGCTGGGACCTAATGCACTCATTAAGGGACAATAGGAGGGACCCCTAGAAGGGACCCCCTAATCCTAATGCCCTGTATAAACCTTAACCCCAAGGGTCCCTTTAAAGGTCGCTCCTTTAGTCCCTTGAGCTCAGAGCCTTCAAGCTTCAAAGCGCATGTCTGCTTGGTGGAGGCAGCGGAGCAGCGCCGAGCTCAGTTGTTTTGACTCCTGCCTTTGAAGTGTGAGGCATCCTAGCAATGCAAGAGCCAGAAGATACCGGAAGATGGTTGCACAGTGCAAAGCAAGTCTGCAGACGTGGAATCCAAGCACTATCGGTCCTAAGGGATTAGGTCAGCGGGCCCATGCTCAGAAGCATTGGCTGAGGGGCCCTTGACACCACGACCAGTATCGTCTCTGCTGCCGGATATGCAGAGGCTGCAGCCCAGGCAGGGACGGTTCCAATCTACTTGTTGGTTTGCTTTTCGGGCTTGTTGCTGATCCTGGTATCGAGAGAGATCGGGATGCAAAGAGGGCCATGTGAAATTCTCGCCTTACCACCCAAGAATTAGCTGTGCAGTTCACACGAGCCATTCGTGCTGCGCGTGAACAATCTTACACCTCAGAACTGCTGCTGTCGGTTCCGAAGTCCGAGGGCATCCGCGCAGCAAGCTTTGCTCGGATACTTCGGTGTTGATGGTCTCGTTTAGCCTGCCCGGTCTCAAGAGCACATGTAGCCATCTTGAAACCGTGATTGGGAGTCACTCTTCTCTCCTTGGCAGGCAGAGGAGGAGGCTGAGCAGCGCTTTAAGAAGGCATGGTCGATGTCTTGATTCGTTCCTGCTTGATGCGAGGTATGCGTCTGCATGTTTTCGGTGTGGGCGACATCTCGTGTGACAGGAGCGGCATCTTTGGGAGACGCGCTGCAAGGAGGAACGCGAGCGGCGTGAAAGTGGGTAGCCCACGGGGCAACGCCGCTACGCGAAGTTCGGGAGACTTGCATTTGCTCGAGGCTTGCAGGTGGCCCAGGCAGCAGCAATTCAGAAGGCTGCCGTGGGCCGAGCCTTCGAAGCTCTTCTGCGTCCATGCTTTGGCTGCCTCCCCGTGCTGTTCTGAGGCAGCCGAAGCAGAGAGGCGGGCCGAGGCACGCTTCGAAGAGGCCAGGCATGCTCTCTGTGCTGGGGAGTCCGGGAATCTGGACAAAACACCAGGAGCGACAGATCTTTGAGCAGCGTCGCTGCCTTTGGATCCTCGTGTAGCAAGCCGCTATAAGCCGCTGCAGCCTTTCTTTTAATAAGACTTACCGAGGCCTGAAGGAGGAGCGCGACAAGCGCAATCGTCGCAGTCTCGGCATCGCTGGGATTCGTAGCAGAGACCCGATCCAGTCAAGTTCGTTCGCCTTCATGACTCGAGCTCAGCCCGTTGCGAAGAGACCTGCCATGATCCGTTGCTCCAAGGTGCAGAAGCAGCCAAAGCACAAGCGCTAGACCACTACTTGGCCTTGACCTCATGGCTGGACTGGACGGATGACGGAGGTTCGCTTCAAGAGTTGTTGCTGCATGAGGCCGAAGTACGGACTCAGAAAAAGAATGCCGTTCAGAAGGTTATTGACAGCTTAGCGCCTGGGCAGGATCAGGATGGGACCCTGCTGGAACAAGTCTGTTTCCTGCTCTGACGCTCCGAGTTCTCGAAGACCAGAAAGACTGCAGCGGGCCAGCTGAAGCAGATCGCTTCTTCCTGGCTTGACATCGCCAAGGTGCGGCGGCCCCTCATGCTTGAGTTTCCCATCTTCCCATCCTTCTTGTGCAGGCTGGTGCTCGGAGGAGGCGGCGTGTGGATGCGGTCGACAAGGCATGCGGTCCTCAGCAGGGACTTGGCTCAAGCCTTTCGCCGCATTCTCTGCGGAACTTTCCAGCCAGTTTGACAACAGCTGAGAGATCCCGATATCAGCGGTTTGTGTGTGCATGGAACCTATGGGTCTTTTTCGCACAGCCGGAGTCCGTACAGATATGGTGTTGAGTTTCGTTTCTGCTAGAAACAGGGCAAATAGTGAGGCCCCACAAACAGATCACTTGAGTGGCCTTGCCTTGGGTAGCAGGCGAAGGTTTGCACGTAGAAGGCCATTGGAAGAAATATGAAGACATGTGGATATAGCATCCCACAAGAAAATATACATGCATCGGTTCCGCACGAATCGATCGAGGTGTGCTTGTGAAGCTGAGGGTAGCAGCGCGTTACAGCACATTCGGCAGCGGAGATGATTGACAAGCGCTCCGAGTTTAGTTCTACAGTTGCACAGCCAGCAGTAGCAGCGAGCAGGTAAATTTCGCAGTCGACAGGATCTTTTCGGTTTGGGAATCGCCACAGGCACCTCGCATCGTGCCTGTATTCTCCAGAACTAAGCCAGCCGAGAATCAATCGTTTCGTCAATGGACGTCAATGAAATCGCAGGGATGCTTTCTGCGCTGAAGCCAGTGCCAGCCTGCCTCATTGCATAGCTCGTAGGCGGTGATGAGCTGGGGGTGTTCCTCTCAGCATCGCTATGCAGCGTCCGTGGGCAGCACTGCACAGCTCCACCACAGCCTCGAGGCGGAAGGCGATGTCCGGCCGTCCGGGTCCCTCTTTCAATGCCTGGTGCGTGCCTGAAATGCCTGCGTCTGCTGCAACCTGCCAGCTGTAGGCCGTGTGGGCGGTGTAGGCATCAGAGCAGCGATCCCTGCAGCGCGTCACCAGGCGCGATGTCGTGCGAGCAAGGCGGCGCGCTCGCGCTGCTGTGGGCCACGGCCTAAGTACCAGCCGCGTGAAGCGCGGGCTTGCATGTCGCACGAGTGATGCTAGCACCTGAGTGCCTTATGCAAGTGTTAGGGAACCACATGAGGTGTTCTGGAACGGCAGTGGCTTGGCGGGCGCAAAGGGCTGGTAGCCTGCAGCTTAGTCCATTCGAGCTGGTTCCCTAGCTGTGCCTCCTCTGCGCCGTGCAAAAAGGCTTCGTATTTTGCGGAGTGGCGCAGTGTGTTGGACCTGAAGCGCCAGACTGCGCTGAAGGAGTCGGGACTTGGAGGGGCAGTTGAGTCAAGCTTCCAGTCTCTGTAAAGCTTCACAGATCTTCACTGTGGCCTTGGACCTTCTTTCGCGGGCTCTTGCAGCTTGCCTCTTCAGGCCAAGCGACGTGCGAAGGCCCACGCCCAAATCGCTCTCTTGCTGTCCCAGCACGCACCTCGGACTCTTGTCCCATTTCGTGGCTCTCTGTGCGACTCTCCATGGCTCTTGAGGTGGGAGCGAGGGAAAGCGGTTGAGCTCTCAGACTTGGCTTGCATGGACTCTTGCCGCGCTGATGGACCACAGCCTGTATACGTGTTTGCGAAACAGCCGTAGTGTGGCGGTAAATGCTTCAAGGATGCACTCCTGGCTCAAATGTAGTTGCCATAGTTGCTGCATCAGCTGCCAACCTCCACAAACAGACCACCACGGACTGCTCCTCACTCACTAGCTACTAGTAGTGGCACCTTCTGCCACAGGAAAAACACGATCGGCCGCGAGATATGGCTTCAGTTCCCACTGCCGAGAACACCCCCCCCCCCACTTGGAGAACAGGCTTTAAGGGGCGCGGATGCCGAATGGGGGTGTGGCAGCCAGCCCGCTGATAGCTGCCCTTCAGGATCGTAGTTGGAGGCAGTTTGTCCTTGAAAGAAAAGCAAGTCTGCAGGAGCCACAGAAGGCCGCCGTCTCCGAGCTGGCACGACGGCTGGCATCATGCAAGGCCTGAGAGTCCGTGTCCGCAAGTATCAAAACCTCACGGAAGTGTTTCTCCGAGTCGCCAGCTCCCTGTGTGCTCTTGCTGAGTGACAGTCGCTTGGGCAAGGATGCCTCCGAGGAGGGCACGAACCTTTACGATGACCCCTTGGCGCTGGTCCGATATCTCCGTGCCAGGCACAGACAGCATGCAAGTATCAGGCTTCGGTGCCCAATCATCAGCATCATCACCACAGGAACTGGGATCTCGACAAGGGCGAGGTACTGATCCGAAAGACCGCCCGGTGGCGCCAGGCATCGCTCCAGTCTTTCTTTGCGAAATAGCATGGTGTTCCCCTTTCAGGAATTTGGATACAGCAGCATTTTCGACGGCTCCAGTGTGGAGGAATTGGCCAAGGAAAGCCAGCTCGGGAACATGTATGTGCGCGGCTACGACAAGACAGGGCGGCCGGCACTATACTTCAAGCCCGGCGGGGCAGGCTTCAATGCCGAACCCGCAGGGGTTAAGTACTTGGTCTACTGTGTTGAGCGGGTGCCTAGCCTGCACAGGAGATGTTTCAGAGCACTTCTTCCACGGTGCTCCGTTTGCCGATCACTGCGCGCACCGCTTTGTCTTCCTTGTTGCCACGCCAAGGCCATTGCTTGCGTGGAAAAGCAGGCCAGGACGGGGCGGCTCGCCCTCCCTCCTCATGACTCTTGGCAACATCCCGAGCATGAGTGGCATCAAGCATTTGTGAGCTTGACAGAGGCTGTTGGTCTGAAAAGCTGCATTTTGGCCCTGGGATTCTCAAAGGGCTATGCTTTCGGGTGTCCATTTCTGTGAGGATCCGGTCGGAAGGAAGTTCGTCCTGCTGGTCGACTGCGATGGCTTGGGAATGGGCAGCCTTCTGACTGGAAGCATTGTCCGTGACCTCATTGGTGTAATGCAGGCCGCCAGCTCTTTGGTCCAGAGGGGCAGAAGATCGGTGCAGAAAACAGGTAAAGCAGCAGGCTGTCGGCATGTCTTGACTCTCACCGTCCGTCGCTTGCACTTGGATGTGCTCGACTGCATTCCTGGAGGTTTGCACCGGACAGAGTGTCGAGATTTTTGGAGAGCCTTAGTCAATTACAAGGTTTCCAAAGTTCAATGGCATGAGAGCTTTACGGGAAGTGCTGTGCAGTGAGCATTGGTGGATTTTCATCAGGAACTTGAGCCTAAGCCTTGACGCATTGTGGGTGCACGCGCAGACAGTCATAGAGCAGGATTGACCTGGCCGTCCTGAGACAAACACTCCATGCTGTGCAGGACCACTACCCAGAGCGGCTGGGCGTGGCTTTCTTCGTGAATGCTCCTTTCCTTCTTCATAGCTTCTTCACGGCTGCAAGTACTTTTCTCGACCCGGCATCTCGACTGCAAAGGGCGCCGCATGCAATCCGCAGTGTTGGCCCAGGGACGGAAGGATTACCGAAATCCCCACCAGTCTTGGTCGATGAGGGGTCAGAGAATGCAGTCCGGTTCTATGGTTTGAGGTGACCATCGCCAAGTTTCAGTTCGTCCCAGATGATGGTGAGGACCCACGGTCGGCTGAGTCGGCTGCGACCGGCAGGCACTCCGAGAGTGTCTTCAACCCAAGTGATGTGATGACAGGAGCGGATGCAGGCCATGTGCCAGCACTTCGACCCAGCCTGCTTAGAGCCCGGCTTCGGTGGAGAAGATGATGAGCCCTTTCGCTCTCACATATTCCTCAACGTGAATCAAGGAAAAGGAGTTTTTGGCAGCGAGCTGAGTTTTGCAAAGACATCTTTTGGTGCTTTCACTGTATGGTAGTCAAGCAACACCTGCACACAAAGGCCTCGAATACGCGGAGCAGCTGCGACTAAGTGGCCTTTTGAATGATGAGGAAGCAGATGAGGAAGCGGTGCACTCAACTGGCTCAACTGATTACATGGAGTTCCTGCATGTATATCGACACTGGTCGCTTGGATGAACAGCAGTCCCTCATCAGTGAGAGTGTGTTGTGGAAGTCGGCATCCAAGCCGTCCTTGTCCGTGGTGGTTACAGCCGAGGAGGGTTCTCAATCTTCCGCCCACCGAGCGAACACTGGTAAGAGGGCTTGCTAAGCGGCTAGCCTTCTCCCTCACTCGGCAGGTGTCTCGGTAGCACTCTGACGTGTGAGCGGTGGCCGCCATGGTCTTTCTGCATGTGATTTGAAACCTGCCAAGGAGGACAAGGAGTTCTTCATTGAAGCGCCCGCGCTGATTCAGTACTTGCGGTCGAAGAACTGGGATGTGTCGAAGGATGCGCCGCTCGGGAGAGGGTTGGTGCATTGGACACGCCCAGTCGCTGTGAGTGCAGGCAGAGGCCGCAGTTTGCGCCACGGCCCAGTGGCGGCAGGAGCCACCTCGAAGCGGTAGACGTGTAATGCTGTGACACCGTCTCAACTTTCAAGGGTGGTACTGGCACTGGTTCTTGCTCAACTGGGCCTAAGCTCTGCGCACAACAGGAGAATGTCTCGTGCTTGTACCTGCCGGATGCGAAAAGCGGGCGATGTTCCGCGGCAATTGTGCGTGAATGTGCGCTGGGCCACTTCTACATCCGGGGCCACCTGGCAGGGTGTTCCTGCTATTCCTTGGTGACAAGTATGGACTGCTGTGTGATCTCTCGGAGAGGTTTCGATCGACGGCAGCGACCCATTGTGTACGTGAAGTTTCGAAACCCCGACACCTTGCTAATGTTTGTTTCGCAGCCTGGTCATGTTATGTTCAGCGTCAGGCCCATTTTAACTCTTGAGCTGAGGACAGTGGTCAGCACCAGGAGACTCTAAACTATGTCAGGGACTTTGGATCTCGACTATCTCATCCTTTTTTACTTTGGGACACGCCTGGTGCATCAGCGCTGAGGTGATCTACGTCCTTGAAAGGCTCCTAGCAGTGTTGCAGAAGTCGTCGGAGCAACCAGAAGATGGTGTCGACAGCGGATGTGCCACGGTGCTGGTGGATTTCACCGGTTCGCGCCCGAGCTTTCCAGCTTCTGTGCCGGTCACTGTGTGGACGTACCGTTGGCTTTGCAGCACGTGCAGCAGCTGCATCCATGATGTTCGATTCTGCGAAGGCTATGAGTCCAGCAACAGGCGTGGGAAGCGGCAGCAGACACATCCTCTCTATCTCTCTGCATGCAAACGAAGCCACAGCTGTGCAGTTGAAATGGGTTGTGTAGTAGTTATGTGAGCGCACCCTCATTGGAAATTTGTATCCAGGTGTGGCACTACATGAATAGTCATACCCCTACACAGATCTAGATGTGGATATACCGGAAAGGCATGACAAGGACAGGGAAAAGTCCAAACTGCTACAGCTACTCCTCTCCAAAGGCCTGTAGCTGAGGTTGCGTCTAGTCTACTACCCGTAAAGCTGTTCACCCGTCGTGCCAAGCATCACCAGTTGTAGACTGGAACAACAAGACATGTGAGCTGGTATCCGAGCGATGAATCTCCAAACGCTTGGCTTGGCTGGTTATGCTTTTGCGCCAGTTTTTGTTTTTTGGGGTTTGGGCGCTAGGGCATGGGTGAATGCACGGCCTATGCGGAAGACTGGGCTTACGGGTGTTTTTTGTGCAGGTCTCGTGTAGGGCCTGGGTTAGTGCAGGTTGCGTGAGGGTTTGTGGTGAGAGTTAAGTTAGTGTTTGGGGCTGAGGTGTTATATGGCTTTGGGCCATGCTTGAACGTGGGGTGTGTGCGGTTTGAGGTTTGGAGTATCAGGGCCCTAGTAAGGCTTCAGGGCTCACCAGCTTTGGAGCTTTTTTGTGCAGAGATTAGGGTCAATGATCGTTTATTGCTGGTGCAGGGGCTAACAGAAGTCTTGCTATACAGCTTGCTACTGCGTACCGCAGCGTCCTACTTCCTGAGTGTTTTTTGTACCGCCACTTTACTATTTGGGTGCGTGATGTGTGCGCGCTTAGTTGGATGTCCTTTCTCTAACAAGATTGGCCATGGTTGCCTCGCAGCCTCGGCAGAGCGAGAGGGAACAAAACATTCCTGCTACTACTACTACTACTCCTCCTCCTCCTGCTGCTGCTGCTGCTACTACTACTACTACTACTACCACTACTACCACTACTACGACGACGACGACTACTACCACTACCACACTAAAACTAACTATCGGTACTACCAGCTGCCATTACCACCACCACCACCACCACCACCAGAAGGACGACAACGACGACGTTCACGACGACGACTGCGAGAACAGTATGACGACGATGACTACTAATCCTACTGCCACTGCGATCACCGCCAAGAAAATGTTTGATCACATACGGGCTATTGGTGGTTTGGTGCCAAGCTCTTTTTCCAAACAGGTTCACAATGTTTCGACCGTGCCGACTATGATGTATATAGGAGACGATGCGACGATGAGACAACATGATGCAACATGTAGTGGAGCACAGTGTCGTTCCAGAACCGTAAAGAATGTAGTATATTGTGCCTGTAAGCTATTAGTTCTATTGCACCCAAGCTTGCTTTACATCACATGTCATCGTATATCTGCGGCTGTATACCGCGCAGCATGACAACCTACCCAACAAAGAGCACTACAGTGGGTCCTCTGTGTAAATGTTTATACGATGCTGTGCTCTCTCTCGTTTTGTTTAACTTGCGGTGTGGGAGCCCACTTCTGCATTTCGTAAGCTTGTTAATCTGGCACCTGAGCAACTTTGCCAGATGAAGAATGCGAACTGCCAATATGATGATTCCTGGCAGTCTCGTCGCGCATAATGTGTTGAAGGTCGCATGGCTTACCCACACACTAGGGATCTGCTTTGTGCGTTGTTCAAGCCCTCCAGACTCGGCCAGGCCACGTCTTTGCACATTACGTGCAGCCCTCCACATCTTCCAGGAGCCAGGGAGCGACACAGACACAGCCATCCAGCTAAACCGCTGTACAAAGGCATCGGAACAATCTGGCGAGACCCACCCTTGGTCAAGGGAAAGCTTCTCCGATGCTCAAACCCTGCCGAATTGGGCCGCTCTCGCTCAGTCAGTGGCTTTTCGGTGTTGGGTTGTCGCAGATAGAATATAGAATTGGCGTGCCTTCTGTCGTGGAGCCACAAACAGAGACCGTTGTGCTGTTCTGAGTACATGCTGCCGGCACATCTTAAGCCCCTCAGGGAGACCTGCTGAGAGCCCGTCCAAAGCAGGACCACTACCCCGAGGTCTTCGGAGATGTTTACTTCTACCACCCCCCTCAGAAAATCAGCTGCTTCTGGCGCTTCGTGGGGCCGTTTCTGGATCAACGTGCCTGTGCCCTAGGGCCCTAGATGTCGCGCTGTGCCCATTTTGTGTGCTGGTATGCCAGGTCCAGTCTTGGCAGAGAAAGCTAAGTTGAATCTTGGTCATGAGGTCCGGGACAAGGTGATTTTTGTCACATCCACCACACATTGGCGGCAACTTGTGAACACGATCTTCCGTGCAGATCGGTTCCTGGGAGAGTTCAGGGGATTGGAGTTGTTGTCGATGAGGGTCCAGGCATCGGTCGCATGCCAAACTGAGGCTGGAGAGAAGCGTTGGCGGGGAAAACCATGCAGTCTTCAGTTCTAAGATCTTCTTGTCGAAGAAGGCCGGATGCAGACTTGCAGACCTAGACCTGCAGGAAGCCCTGCAATAGCTGCATACTTTGCAGGTCGGGGGCTTCATCTGGGGAGCCTTGACTCGACAAAACCTTCATGCACCAGTTCATGACATCTGACATTGCCAGCCCAAAACAATGATTCCGGGCGAAGCGCAGGGGTTCTAAAGTTGCATTTTGGCTGGAGACGAGTTTGTCCTGAAGCTGGCTGATGTGATGAATTGAAGGACTCCCGTAGGTGATGTGCAACCAGAAGCACTATCAAAGCGATGAGCCTTGCTGTTTCTGGTTGGGACGCAGCAGTGTCCTTCCTCACTCTGATTCGCAAGGCACTGAGTTCGACGCACAAGCTTCAGCTCCTGACACCATCCCTCGTGCTCGCGTGAGCTTCTCCAACATCGTGCAACAAGTGGAGGTGGGGAAAGCGTGACGCTGCGTAAAGAGACAGCTCTCGAAGCCTTTCCAGGAGTCGGGAGCCTCGACATTGGTTCATGAGCCTGCAGAGCCAGAGGGGCCTCTGACGAACTTAGTGGGAACGATTAGCTGGCTCTTTACATAGTTTAAGCTGACGGGATGTTGCTCCTGGCCACTGCCACAAGTGGTGGAGAGCTGTAGCGCAAAGCGCAGCATGTTCGCATTTTTAGTCGGAGCGGGCTCGGGTTCGGACCCAGAAGGTGTGATTGGCTCCCTCCAGTTCTCCCGTCCAGAATCCATGCTCTGTGCCCGGCAGTTTCAAATGGAAGGTGCCTCAGACTAGCTGCCCGAGGGCGAGATCCCAAGCAAAGATCCAAGCAATCATCCGAGCTAAGAATCCTGTCAGAAGTGAGAGGAATGCTGGCGCTCTGGATCTCTGTGGCATAGTGGTTTCATTAAATGAGACCGTGGCAGCTCTGAGCTACCATTGCTTCTGGATGCCGTCTAGGATAAAGATTTCCTGCCACCAACTGCAACTTGCAAAGCGAATTGTACTTGGAGGATCTGTCGATTCAGTTTCTGGGGTCCTGGGGGTGTTCGCATTTTACGAGGCCGGGCTGGTCACCAGCTACATGTCGGCTTGGAAGAGAGTTGCCGATGCGAGGGCCACGGCAAGCCGAAAGCAGCTGCAAGTGACGTCGCCCTGGTGTGCTTGAGGCATCAGCAAAAGTTCGGGCACGACGGTTGGGGCCGGAGAGAGCCTGCGGCGAGTTAAACACAGAGTGTCTTTGATGCGAGACCTTTCGCCTTGTTTCAAGAGAACAGGTCTCGATGCGAGGCCGTGCAGCTGGCTCTGCAAAAGTCCGGAGCTCTTTACCTTCACATCTGTGTTTTTTGCACATGCACGTACAGTGGCAAAAAAACAGTTATGCAGTATGATAGGAAACCCTTGTAGGCGACCTTCTGGCAGCTGAGGTGGCTGCGTGGTAGTACCCGAGGTCTGCTTCACGAAGCCATGCGTTTGCCAGGAGCTAAGCTGTCCAGCGAATAAGGCCTTGTGCTGTGTTTCTCTTTGTGGTCTTGGGGTCGTTGCAGGGGTGGTGGCAGCGGTGGGCACTGACAGTGCCAGAAGCAGTAGTAGCAGTAGCAGTGGCCGTCGACGTCGTGGTGGTAGTCATAGTGGTGGTGGTAGTCATTGATTTTGAAGCTTTTGAAGCTTTTGAAGCAGCAGCAGTAGTAGTAGTAGTAGTAGTAGTAGTACTAGTAGTAGTTGTAGTAGTACTACTACTACTAGTAGTAGTAGTAGTAGTAGTAGTACTAGTAGTAGTAGTAGTAGTAGTAGTAGTAGTAGTACTAG